CAGAAAATATGACTTTTACAAACTGTCTTGGACATAAATCATATAAACATTGGCATATTGGTTAATATTATTACTTCAGTGAATATAAAACTAAATAAATACATATATTTACACACATTTAGTGAAGCTTTACAAAATAATTTGGCGTGTTATATCATTAAGCACGACTGTCTGCTCATCTGTAATCAGTAATAATCCAATTATCACCTTACTTCCTTATCCTCATTTTGGAAGAATGCCCCCTTCCACCCCATCTCCTCCTTTTCCTCCCTTTCAAGACGTACCTGATCTCGGACCCTCTTATATGCTAAATGACCAGGCGGGAGTTATCACCGAGTTCAGGGTTCTCTCTCGGGACAGCATGCCTAACCTACTATTAGCATCAAGCATATCTAATGGTGAACTCTTGAAAATTGAGTCAATCATTTTCTTTTCGGCTTAGTCCTTTTATTTATCAGGGGTCGCCACAGCGGAATGAACCAACAATTTATCCAGCATATGTTTTACACAGTGCCCTTCCAGCCACAACTCATCACTGGGGACCACCCATACACTCTCATTCACACACATACACTACGGACACTTTAGCTTGTTTAGCGAGGCTCGAAGAAGCGACCTTCTTGCTGAGAGGCGACAGTGCTACCCACTGTGCCACCGCGCCGCCACTCATGAACATATGTAAATTAATATCTTGAATGATGGGAATCTGTATTTCTGCATATGCAGGTTTGATATGGGCCTATTTATGACTATAAATAATCATAGTTTAACTATGACTACCTAGATAGACGAGAACAACGAGAACAACTTAATAACTAGTTTAACCTTTGTTCCTTTTTCTGCTGGGATGAGGGAATGCAAATCTAAATGTGACATCTATACTTGGTCTCATTTTAAAGACAGTATTTTATTCATTCAAATTCATATTAATTCTTAATATTTGTATTATTACTAATTCATGATATTATTCAAATTTATTTATTTATTACTATATTAATATTATATTTTATTTAATAAATATAAACGTTATGTGAGATTCAATCAACCAATTCATAAAAAGAATAAAACAATAAATCTACGATGCATATAAACAAGAACAATCATCTTGTTTCTAGTCCAAATATCAAAAAAATTAGTGAAGCATTTTCTAGACAAGCAAAAATATTGTGCTGTTTTCACAAATAAAGAGTCAAGATGAAGTGAATTTATCATTAAAACAAGCAGAATAATCTGCCAATGGGGGAAGCTAAAGAAATCTAGCTTTTGCTTTGAATTAAGATTGTTTTTCTTCCCCGTTGGCAGATTATTTATCTTATGTTTCTTGTGAAAAACTTACTTATTATTGACTCTTTATTTCAACCCAAGCTCATTCTGGAAACGTAGCCCCGCAGACGTTTCTGGAGACCGCGATTTACGTGGCCGGAGGTACGTAAGGCCGCGTTTAGTTTTTTTTTGAGCGAGCGCTGCGGGGCGGTGTGGGACCGATCCACTCCTCCTCTTCGCGCTCGCCGGCCGACCGCTCGTCTCCGAGTAGAGGGCTTTCCCGATGCAACCAGTTTGTCCGCTTAGCTCGCAGCGTTACGTCGGCGGAGCGGAGGCCCCGGAGGAGGAGGAGCCGGCCACGGGGACGACAACCAGGATCCAGTCCGGGGAACAGCGGTTCCAGAAATCAGGTAAGATGAAAAACAGAATCCGGACGAGAATGCGGCGGGATCCGAAAACGCGGTCAAAATCGAAGATGAGGGCTTTTGCTTTTTTTTTTTTTTTTTTTTTTCTGGACGGCTTTTGCAAACCATCACTTGGGTTTAGAGGAGGAAGAGGAGGGCAGTTGGGTCGGCCGATCCGGTGGCTTTTCGCACGAGAACAGCGCAGGCGCGAACGGCGCATGCTCCCTAGAGGCGCCCGAGACGTGAAAAAGCGCGCACAGCGGCCTCTCGCGGCTCCGCAAAAACAAAAACCGCTCTAATACGTACCTCCCGGGACGTATCTCGCGGTCTGCAGTAACGTCCGCGGGGCTAAGTTTCCACAATGAGCCCAGGGTGCTTTATTTCTAAAAACAACATTTTATTTTTTTCCGTGTCGATCATCATTTGGCTGAAATGTTTTAGTCTTTAATATTGTGTTTGGCCTCATTATAATCTTAAAATGCATGCTTCTTCAGTCTCTTGATGGTTAAAGTGTGTGTTATTCACTTGTGTTGGTTGTGTGGTGATCATTGCAGAGAGCTCAGCCTGACGAACTGGAGAAGATCAAGAAGCATTACGAGTCGTCTAAAGAAGATGAGCTGAAACTGCTGGATAAACCTGAACAGTACGTCATCCAGATCTCACATCAGCGCTATCATTTATTTTCCTTTGGCTTAGTCCAGGGATGTCTAGATCAATTCCTGGAGGGCTGAAGCCCTGCACAGTTTAGTTCAGACCCTGCTCCAACACACTTACCTGTAGGTTTCAAACAAGCCTGAAGGACTCAATTAGTTTGATCAGGTGTGTTTAATTAG